GCATTTTTTGTTATTAATTATTAAACTATGATCAAAATAGTTTTTTATGCCTAGGATTTCGGCTTTTTCACCCTTTTACCCCTTATTAATTAATTAATAACCATTTTGCCCCTGATTCGAAACTATTTATCAATTTGCCCCTCTTTAGTCGACTACTTTGCATTTTTAATCGACTAAATGGCCAAAACAGACAAAAAATGGCTGCTGGGAGATTTAGTCGACTAAATCTCCCTATTTAGTTGACTAAATCTTCATATTTTACAAAAAAAAATAAATAAGTCAGTATGATTTTAATCGATTAAGTAGAGAGATTTAGTCGATTAGATCTCCCAACAACCGTTTAGTCGATTAAAAATGCAAGGTAGTCGATTAAAGAGGGGCAAATTGGTAGATAGTTTCGAATCAGGGGCAAAATAATTATTAATTAATTAATAAGAGGCAAAAGGGTGAAAAAGCCTCCTTTAAATAGCTAACTGCAATTGCATATTTAGCATTGTCTAATTCTGATTAGAGCATCAGTCTCTCTCCAGGTACACATCTCACCACCACCAATCACAATCATGAAGATCCTCCTCGAAGCTTATTGAACAAAAACTAATAAGATTAAAATACATTGACATATCTCCAGTTCCAAAGGGCAGAGTGAAAGAACAGAGGAATTTTGAGAGACAATTCATTGGCAGAAAAATTTAAAGCTTGGGATGTTTTATTCCAAAATAAAAAAGATAAAAAAGTGATATCAACAACAAAAAGCTTTGCAGATTAATGAAACCATTCTCTTTCAAACTAGTTTCAAACATATTAATCCTTTACAACTCGAGATTGACATAAATTCTTTTTGAGGAGTTTATAATACAAACTAGCACAGAGGATTGGACAATGATACTGCATTCATGAATTCCTGATCAGATTCCAGCAAATTCATTCTATCTGGCAAAAGGCACACTTCCAAATCTATGCTTCCTCCTCCTTCATGACCCGGATATGATGACACTTTCCCATCAACTTTGTTGGCATACCCACTTCTGAGTGCTACCGCTTTCCCCATTCCAAATTCATTGCCATACATGTTGAACCTCGGTGAACTACCCATCAGCACAGTGTACGGGTCCATGAACAGATCCATTTGATAGATGACAGGAGACTTTACCCACTCTTTAACCATTTCCCGCACCACTCCGTCGTTATGGTTTGCAACGGCCATGTGCACCTTCCATGCTGCCCAACCAAGATCATTCTCAAGCAATTCCCCTGCCGTCGCTTCTGTACTCACTGCTTGAATTAAGTTCCCAAAGTATTCCTCCGGCACAGGCGGCTCCATTCTCGATCGGTTATTTGTCGCCAACTTGCAAGTAGTTCTCTGATCATATGGTAGGCGGCGCGCACGTGTTATGGATCTCCAAACATGCGCCGATAATGATTGGAATGAAGAGATTTCGGTAGTATTGGACTCTGAGTTCGCCTTTGCTTTCAGTTTTGCTATAGATTCTGCTGAAAAGTGGAAGATTCTCTCTCTGAGCTTGGGTGCTTCATATCTACTAATAAACTCATCATGATGTTTGAAGGGAAGATTGATTAATTGACCGCAACCCTCTGGAAACCAGCGATTGTGAATGGGATGGCGTGAAATGGGAACAGGAACATCATCCCCTTGAGTTTGAAAAATCTGAGACCATGTCTTGAAGAAATTCCAATACGAAGTCCCATCACCAAGAATGTGGTTCATGGAGCAACCTAGGAAAACACCATCAACTAATTCAGTGACTTGGATGGTCAACAAGGGCATGGTGTGACCATCATGGTTGACTGCTTTGTGGTGGTCAAACAATGACTGAACAATGGGTGGAACATAAACGGGGGAGAGTATGTCAGATATGGTCAAGTCCAAAGTTGCATAAATAAATCTAGCTCCGGGACTGTTATTGCAATCAACGTAAACAACATAAGAGGGAGGGTCTTGGGTTTTGTGGGTAACAAGGCGACCAGACAATGGATAGAAATGGACAAGAGCGAGAGAAAGGGAGTGCTTGAGCTTATCCAACAGATTCTCAATGAAATCTTGTTGGTTGTGTGGGGATGTGGGTTTCTTGAAGAGGAGGCCCTTCTGGATGTAGTGTGTAGACAGCCAAAGAATATCCCAATGTGCTAAATAGCAGATTCGGTTTGATTCTTCGGTGGGGCGCTGCGGCTTGATGAAGCATTCCGAAACGCGTTGAACTACGGGGGAACTCATCATCAGAGAGTGAGAGAGAGAGAGATGCACGTAACTCGTTTGAGATCTCTGAATTTGGGGAAGATTATTGATAGGTTGAAGTGGTTGTTTACAATTAATGTGTTTATATAAATATGAATGCTGCATGAACACCTGCTCGCCCCACGCCTTTTAAGTTATTGACACCAACAAAATTAAAAACAAAGCTAATGAATGGCGTAATGGGTCCAGTTACGAGTGCTCTCATGTTTTATTTTTTCCTCTTAAGTTGAATGTGTAAAGAATTTGGGATACACCACCCCAAAAGCTAGCTCAAAGGGTGGGAGTGCCCAGAGCCACATTATATATCTCAACACGCCCCCTCACGCAAGAGCCCTTTGGGCTAGAAGCGTAGAATTGCACAGGCCCAATTTTTGGTTTACCTTTTTGTGCTTTTTTTATTTTTAATTCCACTTTGTGAGGGACGGTGAAGCTCTGATACCATGTAAAGAACCTTGGGATACACTACCCCAAAAGCTAGCTCAAAGGGTGGGAGTGCCCAAAGCCACATTATATATCTCAACAGAATGTATATTTAAAGGGTTTTATTAAGGTTATACAAGTGAGTTTTCCAACACACACAATAATAGAGAGATGGAAAGTGGAATAATGAAAGAGAAAGAAAAACATGTGGACCCCACCTCTTTAATGTGTATGTAAGAAAGTGAAGTTATATTATGTAAAATAATAAACATAAAACTCATATTTAAATGTTCCATTCAAGTGTAACCTGTCACCTTTAATTAGGGACTTTACAAGTATACTATTAAAAATATATTTAAATTTAAAAACAGTAATGACTCGCGTCACTAAAATAAAAATATATCGAAATGGGATTTGACTCTTTTTCGACGTAATTGCTTACGATAACCACATAGTCAACAAAACAGCAATATTCAAACGCCCACATAACAGCCCTGTTATTGGATACATGAGAGCACTCGTCTCAATCGAATTGTTTTTCTCTATTATGCCAACCGCCCTTGGTTTGAGAGTGAAGAATGATATTTAAAAAAAAAAAGCTAAACTGGATTGTTAATTATTTGTTTCTTTGTTATTCGTGCCAAAACGATTTGTCTCTCAAAGAGGCCAAAGAAGTCTTGTATTGGGTAATATTTTGGGAAAGACCTCGGGAATACTTGCGCAGGCCATCATGTTTGATATGATCAGAGGTGTAAACAACTGCCATAGGGTTCTGGTAGTTGAACTTCTGTATGCCCTTTAAACAAATGTAATTCCAAATCGATCAAATCCCCAATTCTTTCACCTGCTGCAGAAAAATACAGGTACCACAAATACAAAACCAAAAAACTCACTCATGAGTGCTTTTGCCCACCCCAAAATAAATGGAAAAAAATATGTAGGATTTTTCCGCAAACATCTATTTCATGCATCAAGTCGATGATATATATCATACGAGAAACCAGTTCCAACAATTTTCAGCTTTGCATTTTGAGTTTGACAGCTACAATGACAAGTGACAATGATAGAGAATTTTGTGAAATTTTAAATAATAAGAACATTTTATGCATTTAAGGATTAAGTGATAGAGAATATAATTATAATTGGTCTAACTAATAAATTGTAAACTATAAGAAGTTAAGTGATATATATATTATAGGTTTAATGTTTTTGGTAATTTATTTTCTATCACACTCCATTCTCCTTGGAACTTCGCTAAAAATATGACAAAAAGCCCCTGGCTTCTGCAATTGATGAGGACCACAGATTCAGCACTCTGTTGGACCTGAGATAAAATAACTCCACTTGTGGTTGATCTCATGCTTTGTAATTTACTCTTGCCCAAACCAATTTCTGGGATCACACGTTGAAAAATGAAAATTATACTTTTCTTTTTTTATATCAATGTCATCATTGAAGCAAGTGATGATTGATTCTTAGCAATTGCCGTCTGAAAGCAAATTATAATTATTTCCACAGCGCGTGATGTACATTTTTCACATAACCAGACGGAGGTTTCATTCCTTTTTTTTTTTTGGGTAATCGAGGTTTCATTCCTTTTCATTATAAAATCTATTTTCAAACCAAAGCTTAGTTCAAGCTCTTCATTTTCTCTCTCGATAAACTAGTTCAAGCTCTTCAAAATGGAAGTTAATTCTCTCATGATAGTCATATGGATTTACTCTCAATACTCCCTTGATTCTATTTTCTACGTCTTCAATTTTATTTAATATTTTGAATTTTAAATTTATATAATTTAAAATAAAAACTAAGTTATAAAAAACACACGAACTCACCTCATTAAAGATGAAAGTTACCATTGTACCAAAAAAGAAAGAAAAAAGTTACCAAGAAAATGAGTGTAAACGCAATTAGATAGTCCATATATTTCTGAGTATAGTGTGTACAGAACCTCACAGATGCAAAGGTGAGAAAAGAAAGAAAGAAAGCTGTGAGGCTCTGCCAAAAAGGGAAAAAGACCTCTCTCCTTTATTGATTTTGGTTTTGATTTCCCCTTCTTTTTTTTTTGTTAATTTTTGATACGGTAAACAAATGAAACATGTGAAACCGAAACACAGTAAACAGCTAAATTCTACTCTAAAAAAAAGAAGTTGGTTTGGACAAAATAGGACGGTCACATCAAACAACCGTTGTATTGAAGATGAAACAAAGCAAACTGCAAATCAATAAGCTAATCCTAGGAGTGTTGCTAATCCTGCAAGTAGCAGGAAACACAACTTTAAAAGTTCAAAAAACATGTGTATTCCAGTAAACTCTCATACAGAATCTAAGAGTCATCATCCAGAAAGAGTGAAACCAGTTGTTCGTTTGATAGCTCCCGTTCATGATTTCTCAACACATACATGGCCTCAGCAACTTTTGTTTTGAGATCATCTGCTGACTCAATCAGATGTATTACCTCATTGTGGTCCATCTCCAAAAGCATACCTGTAACCTTTGGTGCTGATTCATGCTCCAGTTCATCTACTAGCGGGTATAAAACTTCTCCAAGGATCTATAAAACCATGCACCAAAGAGTGAGTATGACAATTTCCCAGTGCACATGAAACAATCAATACTCAACCCAAATGTGTTGAAACAATAGCAGGAAACAGGTCTTACAATCCTCCGTATTTCAGGACGAGTATTTTCAAGGTACACGTCGAAGGGGATGATCGGCTGTTCCGCGTCATTCTCGATGGGCTGACTACTCACGTCATAAGTTGATGTAAGTCTTCCAGCTAACGGTGGAAGTCGAGTATCTATCAGGTTGCGACCAGGAGGGTAACGATAGTCACGTCCCATTGGAGCAATCTGAAAAACACAACAAAAGTATCTCATCAACATCAGGCACAAAGAATGACAAAGACAGTGGTTAAAGAAGGAAAATAAAACAAAAATCACAGTTGCATGAGCAGACCGGTTGCATCCATGGTAACGGCCGCGGGAATTGTTGCATGGCTGGGCGCTGACCTAGTTGACCCGGCGGAACTATTGGAGGAAAGAAGTTTGGCAATGGAGGAACACGTGGTCCCATTCCAGGAACAAGTTGCCGCGGGTAACCAAATCCAGCCTGTATTTATTATAGGAGATTACTTAATCTCAATGTCCATTCCCAGAAGACAGCTTTGAAGAGTATATATATTGCAAGTTTGCAACACAGACGAGTAATAGATGTGGAAAGTACAACAGAGTGAAAATTTAAAAGAAACTGAGATGTGGAAAGTATTAACGAGCTAATATAAAAGTTGACACTCACATTTTATCCACAAAAACATGGAGATCTTCTAATAACAACATGATATCACCAAAACTGAATTAATTGAAAACAAGGTCAATTACTTCTTTGTAATTACTTGATCTATGAAGGGGGGACGTGGCTGCCTGTACAATGATTGTGGGCCTAGTCCAGGAGCCCTGGGATGGTGCATTGACAAGCGATTTGCAACAGAAGGGGCCGTTGCAACGGGCCTGATCTGTGAAAATTGAGCCTGTAGAAATAGTTATGCAAAGTTGAAAAAATTAACAACTGCACATTAATGCTAGAATAAGTTAAGACTCTTCTCATTTATGGTAATCATTCATGTTAGAATATCTAGAAAAATATTATAATATTATTATTGTATCTTAGAATATTTTTAAATATCTTAATTCTTGGATGATTTCTTAAGAATGATTTCCATATTACATTCACATCATGATTTGTTTCCGAATTTAATTAGGATCATTGTTGTGTTAAACCATTCATATTGCTATAAATACATGAACCGGTGTGATTTTGTATTACTGACATAAATCCAACGATTCAACGATCCATTTACATGGGCATGTATTTGGACTTTGGAGGCAATCCTTGGGGTGCAATAAAGACATCAACAAAGTCCCGTGTGACATGGGTATTATAACATAAAACAAGTTATATCTACTTTTGGGATTGGTGAATTTGTTCTGCTAATTCTAAATTCTTCTTATCCTCTATCGTTTAGAAATTGTCAAATACCTGTATTTGCAGGATGTAATACTGTATTGTGCACTTCATATTGGCAATTCATAGGAATGAAATATTAAATGACATAATATTTGCTAATCCACAAACAATTAAAGGAGGATTTTTGCTACAAAATGAAATTTATTAAAATTTTTAGCTAAAAGCAGAGACAGACCTGGGAGTTCACAAAATAACCATTAATAATGGACGCAAAGGCAGGATTTATGTTACTAAAGGTGACTACAATGTAATTATAAAGCATATATTTAACTGCGGACCAATGGATGCATAGTATTACCTGTAACGTTACTCTTCCCTCTTCATTTCTCCGTGCAACAGTAAAATGGAGGGGTTTGCGAGCAAACATTTGACCATTCAGCGCATTAAGCTACAAGTACCAATAGATTTGTATATGAGCAATTAAGTTCCTTGTCACTTATTAAAGAATAGTTACTAACAATTTAATTCTTACAGCTCGTGTAGCTTCCTCAGGAGTTGAAAATGCAACAAATCCCCATCCTCTACTAAATCCTTGTATACTTCGCATAACCTGAAGTTAGGCAAAAAGACACACATTTTGTGAAGATGAATATTAAACCATTGCAGATATGAACAAAAAGAAGAACCATATTGGCACACCTTGCATGTGGTTATTATACCAAACTCAGAGAACAATTCTCTTAGTTTTTCATCAGTAACGCTATGATCCAAGTTCTCGACATACAAGTTTTCATCCTGATAGTTGCCAGCAGATCCCTTCGAACTCTCCCCATATCGTCCTTTCAGTTCAAGCAATCTTTCAGATTTTTTCAGGGCTTTTCCGACATACCATTTCTTACCATCAAATCTCTTTCCATTAAGTGCCTCCTGAGCTTTAGTAGCGGCATCTGCTCTTTCAAAACTGGCAAAACCGAAACACTTCGATGTACCATCTTCTTCTCTCATCACCACAGCACTAATAACGGTCCCATATTCTCCAAAAGTTTTCTGCAAGTCCTCATCCGTCGTGGACTCGGACAAGTTTTTCACATAGAGATTATTAAACTTTGCCCTCTCTCTGTCCTGCTTTCGTAGGAAACGACCTACGTAGACCTTTTTATCATTGATCAGCATTCTGTTTAACTTTTCGATTGCATTCTGTGCAGATTCTTCCTTCTCAAATTGCACAAAACCGTAGCCTTTAGACTCGCCAGAATCATCAGTCGCTACCTTGCAAGAAAGAATTTTTCCAAAAGACGAAAAAGTTTCATGCAAAGCTATGTCATCGATTTCCTTGGCCAAATTCTGCACCATGATCAATAGCATCAAGAAAGTTTATCGAACAGCCAGCTTATACAGAAAGAAAGATTCAAGAATTAGGCATATATAGGCACATACCTTAATGAAAATATTAGCAGCACTACTCCTTCGAGGATCAGGGCCCCGATTAGAAAGCATTATCCTAATGGGTTTGTTGTTCAGCGGAGTGAAATTTAGCTCATCGATAGCTTTTGCAGCTGCATAATAGTTATACTTTGTAATATTCAAGATTGAATTCTATCAATGCATTTGAATTTCAAGAATCGGCAAAGAAAGAAAGAAAAAGAAGACTAACCGTCTTGAGCGTGAGTGAAATTGACATAGCCGAAACCCCGGGATTCGTCAGTGATATAGTCCCTGCAGATACGAACAGATGCAACTTCACCGATCGGATTGAAGAGTTCGTAGAGATCATATTCGATGACGTTACGATCAAGATCCTCTATGTACAATGCGGTATGCATAAGCTGGTTCGGTGTTGGGTTCTGATTTTCAGTGTGAGCGGGAGTGGGAACCTCCGCATCGGCGTTGAGACTCTCATTAACTTGCACCATTGCTGTTTATCTTTCTGGTTTTCTGAATAAACCCGCCGGAGAAAGAATGTAGAGGGAAAATGTGAAAATCTGTTTTTCTGTTTCCAGTCTTTCTTTTGGGAGGGAAGATTGTTCAGCTGGCCGTTACAAATGGTCCCACCACTTATATATATATATAGTGAGAATCTCAATTTGGATAGGCAAACTCAAAATGAGTTCATGAGCAATGGGCATCAATAATTTTGTACTTTTCTATAATTTCTTTTATAATTTAAAGTCTTTTTAATAATTATTAATTATTTTTAGATTATATTGAGTGTGCAGTGATTGTGCATTATTTTTTTTTATTGCATATAATTTCTTTCGATTTTGTTTTGTTTTGTTTATTTAAGACTTGATGTGAGATTGTGAAGTGAAACCGAATTTTATTTGAGCACATAATTTCTATTTTAGAAAACAATATTTACCATTTATAATGAGAGAAAAAAATTATAAATCAGCATATCAACCAACTTCTTCCTCCTAAAAATACTCTATGTGTTCTTTTGATGTGTATTTTTAAGATACAAACACTTTTAATATATGCCTGTCAAATATTATATTTTTTATTTTTGCGGTAAGCTATTTTTTATTTTTTTATTTTTTTGGTAAATATTTTTTTATTTTATTTTATTAACAGGTACGAACATATTATAACGAATCATTATTTCTAAGTATAAATTTACTCTTTTTATGTTTTTAGTATATCAATTGTTTTATTTTTTGATATTTATTTTATTGAATATTAAGAGTATTATTAGAATAATGTTTTTGAAAAATAATTCTAAATTTTCATTATATTATTCTTAATAATATTTTTTATTATATAAAAAAGAATTGATTCTTCTATGATTTGAATACAACGGCCACTTTATCATTTAATACCTTGATAATACTTTATCATTTTATTTTCCAAAAAAAAAATATTTTATCACTATAAAGGGATAGAAGACTAATCCAATTGGTATAGCTCACTCGAGTGAAGTGGAAATAGAACCTAAAGTTGATTCCCATTAAATATATTTTTGGAGACCCTGACTTATATATAAAAACAAATAAATACAAGCATAATTGTTAGAGCAAAGAAAGATTTTATTTTATTTTATTATGAGTGTTTAATATTAAAAGGAATATTTTAATTTCACTTAAGTATGAATTTTATTTTATTTTTTGGTAACAAGAATTGGCTTAAAGTCAAACAACAAAGAAAAAGAAAATAAGAACATCTAAGAATATTAACTATTATATTTTTATCTACTGACGCAAGGTCTACAAGAAATAGAAAACTAAGGTGCGAAAGAGGAGAGCCAAAGAATTTGTACTCCTCCTGGGCAGATGGGGTTACATATATAAAAACGTAATAGTAAGATAATTAATGAAACCAGGGAGAAATTCCAATTATATATAAAGAGGAGAGATAAATATGAATTTTTTTAAAATTATCCCACACATGTCAATGTTTATGACTAATGAGTACATCTTCCTTTTTTTTTTGGTAAACAGAAGGCCTAAGCTAAAAGAACAACAAAGACAACCAAAATCAAAACTAAATCCTACACCTCACTTCCCTAGACCTACTAACACCAGTAAAGTCACCACGGAGAAGATGAAGAATGCCAGAAGGAGGATCCCTCCAAAACTGATAAGTAATGGAATCATCCGAATCCAGAATAAAATTTGCCAACCAATCAGCACAGACGTTTCCTTCTCTATAAGTATGCATCAAAGTAACTAAATAAATGAGTATAATATATATATATGATCCTTTGACACACCAGTATCAATTTGAAATTTGACACTTCATCTGAGAGTCGTTTGATCAAAAAAGATCAATGGTGTCACTTGCTTATAAATCAGAGTCATTGATCTTTTTTAATCTAAATGACTCTAAGATAAGATGTCAAAGGATCTTACCTCATATATATATATATATATATATATATATATATATATATATATTTTTTAACGTTAGCAGGTGATAGGAGCAAACTTTCGATACCACCGCCGTTGCCGTTGGTACTTTCTTTCTTAAATTAGAAAATAATTAGGATATAAAAGGAAATAAATAAAAAACAAGGGATTAAAATGGAAAACAAATTTCCTGTTTGAGTAAAAAGACGCACCCAACATAGTACAACAGTGGTATTTAAAAAATTTCCCAGGTGATAGAACCTGTAAAAGAACTAAATCATTGTTCATCATCTCTATATATCATGAATATTGAATACCAAAGAAATTATATAATCTCATTACTCTGTCACAAGTCACAACACCATTGAGAATTTTTCTTGCGAGCATGGATATGAGATGTCAATGATCAAATGTTAAGTGTAAACAACAATTACCCGTAAACTTTTAAGAATACATGGACGTGTCAATAAAATAGTCATAACCTTAAATACAAGGGATAGGATATTGTGACACACAAATAATCTTACGCACAATGTTACGAGCACATCTTAACCGTTGATTTCCGCAATCAACGGTTATCATTTATTGCGAATTAATAATTAATTAATGAGTTTGATTTGAAAAATGATAACCGTTGATTGGCAGAAATCAACGGTTAAGATGTGGTCGTAACATTGTGCGTAAGAATATTTGTGTGTCACAATATCCTATCCCTAAATACAAAGCAGATACATTTTAATATATACATCGAAATAAACCTACATTATAATTAAATTATAACTATACTAATGAAACTGCTTTGAAAAGTAATTAAAAATATATCATAAAAGGTCTGTTCATTGAATTTCCAAAAAAAAAAGGTGTGTTCATTTTTAATAAATTGTTAAAGTATTTTTACTATTTAGATTTTGATCAGAACCAATTTTACTTGGCTCTATAAGTGTTGATACAGCTGATTTGTGTTGTCCAGCATATGATGCTTTCCAAGCTAAAAGAAGCAAGGAATTAATCATAAATTGTTGAAAAATGGTCATAAATGTTATAAATGCTGATTATTCCTTCTCAATAATTCTCTCACTCAAATTCTATATTTTGACAGCAAAAAGCATAAAAAAAGAAGAAGTTGAAGTTCTCTAGGCAGTGCGTTTTGCGCGGAGCATGGCGCAAATTGCACCATTTAGACCATTTGCTTCTGTATCTTCGCGTGATTTGCACGGTGAGTGGCGCAAATCGTGCCATTTTGCAGTTTGCGTCCGGTTTCTCTACGCGATTTGCGCGGGTTCTGGTGCAAATTGCGTGGGCGATACTTTTTAATTTTAATCTGATGCGAATTACACAAAATGAGGGCCCAATTGGAGGGAAATTGAAAGTAGGTTTTCGCAAAACCTAATAAAAGGACCAGAAACAGAGGAAGGAGGAAATTTCAGACAACAAGGAAAAGAAAGACAACAAAGAGAGTGAGAATTCGTGGGAGCTTCTTGGAGTTTCAGATATTCGAACGATCAAAACTGAAGATTCTCATCTTCTTTCTCTTTTTTAAGTTCTGAAATTTACTTTCTTTTGTATTGATTTTGTCAGACATGAATATGTCTGGCTAGTTTCTATTATTGTGGTAAGGGTCATAACCCTTGATGTGAACCCCTTGTAGTTGGTTGAATTTATGCTTATCTATTTCAATTGATTTTTTTTTACCTTGTTCTTCATTCCATAATTCTTTTGAAACCGATCAATCTATTAGGATTGCGAGGGTTAGGGTTTTCAATAGGGATATTGGAATTCCAATTCCTGACAAAGGGTAAGATAAATGTTCATGTATGCACTAGGGATAGGCTATATGAACCGCAAACGTTAAAATTCATTGATTCTAAGGTTTAACTTCAAAGGAAATTTCTAAGGGATTAGGATTCTAATAGAGTTAATAAGGTTAAAGTTACTAAGAAATCAGGGTTTAACTAATCATATAAAAGATGACGAATTGTTTGATCAATTGAATAGGTAAACGTAAATGTAATCCAGGTTGCAAGGTGGTGATCATAAAGGTGTTGGCGTCTCTTTATCGCAATAGTTTCTCAAATATTTTCTCATCTTTTAATCTTTTATTCTTTAGTTTCTAAAAGAATCTTTAAATTATTTACATTTTCTTGAATTGTTCTTATTATTTCATGATAAGTGTCTAAGACACTATGTTTTTATGGCTAAAAAGAGTTCTAATAATTATTAAAATAGTTAAAAATATAGTGTTAAAACAATAAAACAGTACGAATGAATTGTCAACAAATAAACAAATTTTAAATATTTGTTGTTTCAGGTTGTTGAGATTGGAATACTGGAATAACAAATTAACAAAATGAGATAACGAATACGCGGAGCAATTGGGAAATCAGAGATTAAATAATAAATAAAATAAAATTGGTAACGCTCGCTCCACTGCTCACTAAAGCGAGCAAGTGGGCGAGCAACTCGCAAAGTTCTTAGCAAAAGCGAGCAAATGAGCGAGTATCTCGAAAAAGTCCTCGCACGAGCGAGTAAGGGAGCGACCAGTAATAAGTGCTCGCTGAGTTGCTCGCTTCAGCGAGCTCCTCAGCGAGCGGATTCAGGAAATTAAAGCCATATTTTCCCTTTAAATACAACGCGAAGGAAGCCGTAAAAATCATTCTGGAACGCGGAGAAAGACGAAGTCAGAGAAGAAGACGAAGGCAGGAGTGAAGAAGAATGCTGGAGCATTGCTTAGGAGAAGAAACGAATGCAATTTGCATCATTATTTGTCTCCATTAATCAAGTTTTACGATGAACCTTATTTCTTTTGCTGTTTATTTCAATTCTGCATTTATAATTATGTCTAGCTAATTTACTTTCAGAAGTTAGGAAGATACAGAACCAATGGGTTCTTAGTTGATGTTTGTTTATTCTTATGAATTACATTCTTGTTTCTAAATTATGCAATCAATCTGATATTTATGCTTAGTTTTATTTATGACTCGATCACTCGTAGATAAACATACGAGTCACATATGACAATAGGGATGTTGGTATGTGATTCCGATTGGTTGATTGCTATAATTTGCATGATCTAGGGATAGACTTGTGAATTTTATAACTTGAGTTCTTGCGTTAATGCTTATTCTATGAGAAGGTACTAAGGGATTAGGCTTTGGATTAGAGTAAAGGATTAGATTACCAAGGTATTGGAATTTAATCAATCGTAGAAAGAATTGTTAATAATTCAATCTTGAATGTAATCGTGAGAATAGACAAACACGTTAAGAAACCATTGGGGAAGTTGAATCCTAACTACACCTTTTTGTTGAAAACTTAAATCAATTTCTTTTAGCTTTAATTAATTCTAAATTAAATTTCTAAAATATTAAAAACCAAAAATAAGTTTATAAATTCTGTTTTTACTTTAATCACAATATTATCAAGAAAACCTTTAATGATCGATCCAACTTTAATTAAATAAATAAATTATTGCTTGGTCATCAGTCCTCGTGGGATCGACAAACCTTCTTATCACTTTATTACTTGTACGACCGGTGCACTTGCCGAGTTCGTCAACATTTCACAAACCACAATTGTCCTTAAACCATTTTTATTAATCCAACAAGAGAGGAATAGTTATAATAAAGTCGATGCCTCAATCCTCGTGGAGACGATACTCTACTTACCCCTTTTATTACTTGGAACGATCGGTACACTTGCCGATTACGCAACAACAACTTTAACTCATGAGTCTTCCTTAAGTGGGGGCCTGCAAGACAATATATCGCTCGTCAGGTTTTATGTAAGCAGGTTTTATTTTTTATATAAAAGAATATATGTACCTTATTTTTAGCACACTTATATTTAAAGTGGAATGGTGACCAGCTTTGGAGGCTATCCTTGCAAGTGATGAGGCAGAGCTGCTCGTGAGATGCGGTGGAGAGATTGCAGAAGTTGCTTGCTGAGATGTGGGGCAACCTTTGTTGACTGAGACATTATTATGAGATACCTTTTTTCATAGTGAAAGCTTTGTAATTAAGTGAATTTTCTTTATGATGAATGCTTCACAAGTGGACTTTACTATATTTATTTCACATCATATTTTTTAATTATTTTTTCATAGGTTACTATTTTTAGCTTATAATTAAGAAAAATATTATAACAGTTTTTTTAATAAGTTTAATAATATATATAATTATTTTGAAATACTTTAAACATATGTAATTAAAAAATAATTTTTCTTAAAAAACCCAAATAGATAAAGCAGGAATACAAAAGTTGGTATAAGATCCTGATATTTATATGTTGTTATTATAAGATTATTGTGTAAAGCAATTAATAATATCATGAAATGGACGGGGTGAAAGATTGGAAGTACATATAAGGAAAAAAATCATCAAATAAAATTATTTATCAATATAATATTTGATTTATTTCACATTAATTTGATAATTTTTATTCAAAAACATAATTTCGTGTCATCGAAAATAAAATAACTGTAAAGAACCTTGGGATACATCACCCCAAAAGCTAGCTCTAAGCGTGGGAGTGCCCAAGGTCTTATAAACTCCACATTAGTTGCACATACAACCAATGTGGGAGACTATATATCTCAACACACCCCCTCACACGAAAGTCCATTGGACTTGAAGAGTGGACAATGCAACATGCCCAACCTACATGTGCTAAAGAAAGTCCACAAGAGAAAGTGAGGGACGACGAGGCTCTGATACCATGTAAAGAACCTTGGGATACACTACCCCAAAAGCTAGCTCTAAGGGTGGGAGTGCCCGAGGTCTTATAAACTCCACATTAGTTGCACATACAACTAATGTGGGACTATATATCTCAACAATAACCATGTGCATAACTATCATAGAACTATTTAATTAACTCATCACATATTTATATACACAATATTTTAATGTTTTTATTAGGCTGAAATTGGAATTGATATTTTGAAGTTGTTGTACTAGGTTGAATATGAACTTCATGCAATAAATAATTAAAGTAAAAATAATACAATTTTTAAGATGTAGTAATATCAATCCATGCACATGAGTTAGGATGTCTATTAAGGACCTACAGACTTACCTTTATCCTGACTTGCCCCAATTCATTTTAAAAATAACGGAATCATTAAAAAATCTCTTTCGAAATCTAGCCATTGACTTAATTTAAAAGACCTAATTTATATTTTGTAATAATCCTGACCAGTTTGTCCACATAATACAACTTATTTTCCACATATTTGGTAATATAACTTAATTTTATTAAGTATTTTTCAAATTCTTCATAACTTGTACGTAAGTGATGACATACTTCTGTTTTGATCTAAATTATTTTTGAGAAAAATGTTTATTCTTTATAACTTATATCATTTTACTTTTTCACAAAAAGTGAGACTTACATCTTTACTTTTTTTGTCAATTATCTCTCTTTCTTTATCTATCTCTTTCTCTATCTTAAAATAACACAACTTTACATCCTTTAAAATGACACATACTTTTTCCATTATATTTATGAAAAAAGCGTTTGTCATTTTAAATGACAAAAAATTATGTTATTTTAATAGAGAGATAGACACAAGAAAATATTTTTTTATTTAAAATTTAAATTAAAAAAAAACACTCATTTTCTCTCCTATGATTTCTAATCCTTGTGTTTATCTCTCTCTTAAAATGAGATAACTTATATCATTTACAATGACAAACACCAAACTCTATATTTAATGTTTAAAAGGGTCAAACCTAAAGCATGACGTAATTTTCTCTATATAATGCAAAATACAAAACATTCGTAGCTCACTAGTCATTATCAGCCAGGTCTAGAAGGGAATTCGTTATTACTATACTATTTTCATCCTATCATTCAAGCTATATTCGCGTCTTAATCGACATAGTATCGATATTGACTGCTCTCTCAAATTAATTCCAATAAAAATTTTCAAATTAAATTTTGTAAAATATTCAACTTGGAAAAATATAAACAATTCGTACATAATAAAAAAGTAAACACTTTTTGTTCTGCTGCAAGAAAAAAAAAATTGTATCCAGATCAGGTGCATTTCTTTTTAGAAATGCATCTCATGAAATTATTGTCCAACGGTTGATTTTTTTTTGACATATTTGCTTTTAATTTTGGAGTTTATAAATCTTATGTTACTCTATCAATATTTTTTTTTCAGCTGAGACAATAAAAATTTGGGGATCACAATTTTTTTTTTCTCATTCCTCATCTCACTTTCTCTCTCTTTTTTATTGTTTTAGCTAAAAAAAAAATCGGTGCATGTGATAAAACCAACTTTTCAAAGGCTAACTACTAAACAGTTTTTTCTGAAACTGTTAAGGATCGTGATAAAAGGTTAATAATAAAATATTTGAGTAAATATTATTTTTGGTCCTCAGCAAATTTAACTATACCAGCTTTAGTCCATAGCAAATAAAAAGGTTATTCGTTGTCCCTAAGAAATTCAAAATGGACTCATTTAATTGAAATCGTGATCCCTTACAAATTCAAAAAAGACCCATATTAGTCTCTCAAAAGGACTAAAATGGATCCACTTTAAATTTCTTAAGGACCACGAATAGCCTTTTTATTTGCTAGGGACTAAAATGAGCATCATGAAATTTGCTGAGGAGAAAAAAAAGGTATTTACTCAAAATATTTTCTGAGTGAGTGATCTCAGATGTGACATAAAATAATGAAATTATAATATCACCAGCATCAAAACTTTACACAAATCATAATTTATAACAGAAGAAACTAATTAGAAGAGATTTTCAAACAAATTCCCATTTATATAGGCAATTGTTCAGTTTAATGCAAACATTTCATCGTCCGTAGTTCTATAGCGTGTGTGTATATATCTATTAACGTAGGCTGAACAAAATTGTTTTGTTCTTTCTTCTATACAGTAATGGTGATTATGTTTTCTGAATATGCATACACATTAAACGAGAAGAAGCAGGTTGGGCACTCTTATATTTCAAATTGTTGATCCTCCTTTCCCTCCTAAGTCGTGGTTCTCATGGCCCTACGAGGCACTATGTTGTAAAAAGGAATTTGCATGTCAATGATGAAAGAATAAATAAATGCATGTACCCTTTGATACTTGATGTGCCTTACTTTATGAAAGTCTGATTTATGACGGGTGAGTGGAGTATCTAATATGATTATTTTTTAAGATTTCGGCTATAGGACACTTATGCTTTTCAAATTCAAAACTTAAGAGACGTAAAAGGGTAGGCTTAAGAAGTAGAAGACGAAGAAGAAGGAGTAGGTGCGTGGACTTCCGCGTCCGTAGCTTCTGCTTTTAACCTAAAAGCTTCGATTTATAAGCTAATGTAGTCAAAAGAATCTATCGTTTTCAAAGTCACACCAATCGAGCTGAAATCAACAAAAAAAAAAAAAGAGAGTGACAAATTGCTTTGGTTTGGTTCCAAAGTCAGGAATTAATAGCATTAAGTGGAAGAGTACAGAGCAGAGACAACTTTGTCTTTCTTCTTTCCCAATACAAAGAAAGAAGAAAAAGTAAAGCAAATTAAAGCACATTCATTAAATCAGCTGGGATTCGGAACAAAAGCAAAGCAAATTGATGGATAAATGTTCAAACCCCCCTTCATCTTCCTTCAGGGTGCAATGGAAATAGCTCCAGAGTTCTATGTTCCTCCTCCTCTTCACAAGATAACACGCTTTGTTCTTCCGAGCACTCAAATCCCCATCTCCTACACTTCTTGTACGGACTATCTTCCTCTTCTCTTTCTATTACTTCCCCCTGCAAAAATCTTGAGCCTTCAGATGTTGTATACGACAATTAGTCTAGAACATATATAGAATAATTAGTCTAGAACATACCCTTGTCGTTTCCAAATTAGTTATACTATGAATTGTGGGAGTTCGAGGACTATGAGAAAGGCCAAGGGTGTTGCGCTTCTGCTTTTGTCTCTCTCGTGCTTTGTGGTTTTGAAACCAATAGAACACGTTTTTACCTTCGATCTTACCGTACTTGCTAAGCTGAGCTGTGATCTGCTCTATCTGTTGAGCATTTGGAGTTCGCATCCCTCCTCTGTATAGCATCTCCAGTATGCCTATTTGTTCTTGCGTCGGATTCCACCGTGTCCCTCCTGGATGCGTTTCCACCTGTGTCATAATTGTAATAATGTACATTTTTTAGTTTTAATTTTTTAACCAATTAATTGATGAACAATTCATTAAATTAAATGCATGTGAAATGTATATATATATATATATATATATATGTGGTATGTCCACGTGAATTATATATCACTGCATGGATGAGGGGGCATGGCATGGAGAGAAGTAATTAATTAAAGAAAAGAGATCAATAATAATAATAAGGACCTGGCCCTGGGGTGAAGGTGGATCTTTCTTATTATCGTCAGAGGATAAGAGTTTTCTGGGGCCACTTTCTGGTCTGATGAAGCTCTTGAGATCGAAAGGAACAGAAGGAGTGGTGTTGTCGGAGGTGTTGGGAAGCTTGGGAGCAAGAGGGCGTAAGCGCTTGCACCCAAGCGTGAGGGAGGGTTCGTGCTCCCAGAATCCACGTGCGAACTGATGCACCTTCATGCTTCCCATGGTGAAGTGGATGATAGGGAGAAGAGTAATTATATAGAAGAGGATGAACGAACACTAGTACTTAAAGTGGACAAAGTGGGATATGAGGTGTTGCCTGCAACAACCAAGACCAAATGATGAGATGCAGTTGACTTGGGAATTTACTCCTATAAAAAAAAAACTAAAAGGCAATGCAACTCATCTTATTAAAATAGAAAAAAACAAAACGCACAATCAGAGACAAGCACGGTACACAGTAATATTAATTTTGTTTATGAATAGGGTGGGAAGAGCGCGTGTGACAAGACCCTGTGGCTGTGTGGATGGATCTTGGATGTATGTGTATGTGCGTGTGTGTTGGCCTGTCAAATCGGGTCGTTTTTTTCTTGCTTTCATGATAAGGTGTCCATGCTTTTCGGTGGCCTCTGTGACTCTCTCTCTCTCTCTCTCTCTCTTTCAAAACTTTTGCTCATCAATAAAGTGAAGTGAGGAATGCAAAAAGATTCCTCCAATCCCTAAACTTGAAAATGGAAGCCCTTTGATATGCTTTTCAAGATACGGATTTTTATATATGAATGGATGAATGAGACGTCGACGAGCTAGAGGGATATGGTGAATGGTGAATGCCGTCTTTGTCCTTTTGATGTGGTAGAGAATGTTGAAGAAAACACTCACTCACTCACTCAACCATATCTCTGAAATTCATTTCCCACTCCTTGGGAACTGTTGCTCCAATTTCCCAAATACTACTTTATACTCCATATATATATATATGTAATCTATAAGACCATGCACCCATCATCTATGCTCCATATCCCTCCATCAAACTTTAATTTATATTCAAATTATTTCTATTGGAGCATTATACTTGGATATAAATTGAACCTGACTCTGTCAACTGCACCCATGCATAAATTGAATCCGTATGTGGCATACTGATATATAATATTAATATGCATGTACATTTATGTATAGGTGTATATATATTCAAATAAACGAAACCTTTGAGAAGGAGACAATAATTCTCATTTCCCGCGTAGCATATGATTGGGCGTTGAGTGCAGCTGGCAATTGGGTAACGAATCAGAGTTCTTTAACCAATCAACCCATCACGTGAGTAAACATATATACATACATATATATATATATAGAAGTAATTCCGACCCTTAGATATACACGTGCCATTCAATTTGGGCGCACGAGAGAGGAATATTGCACACGTGTTTCAGTCAAAATACATGATGGCCAATCATCACAATCAAGCACCCGCAAGCTGAGCGTGAGTTTTTCCAGTTTCACTCCTCAAGATATGATTATGAAAGCCCTTCTGCTACATGCTGGCCACTAGCAAGCCGATGAAGAGATTGTCCAAACACAAACTATCTTCTTTCGGGCAACAATGGCCAGTAGTTATTATTAATGCCATCTCTCCTGTTAACTTCAAATTAATTAATAACCAAGCTGGTTAAATCACACGGACTATTTACTATGTCTTAAAAACCATCTATAATCGTTTTAGAGATTAGCTATTCACAAGCTAATATATAGATCACAAGCTAATATAACGTAAATGCATAAATACCCCCGTAGCATAGATCATTGCGTTCTCATATAAATCGTAATTTTTAATTGTTGCAGTCACACCCCTTTTTTTAATATCAATATATCCATGAAATTAATAGAGAAAAATATGCATGTACAAATTATCGCATCGCGCGAGACACTGATATAACTTGAAATATTCAAGAAAGATTATATCGTGCTAAAGTATTATACAATAATTTACATAAATATTATGAATATGTGAATATATAAGGAGAAAATAAAAAAGCATAAGAAATATTAAAAAAAAAGTATAAGAAGAAACTCTTAACCACCACTAACTTTGACATTTTTACCCATTTTCTGTTTAGAAGGGCCTGTGATTAGACCGGTAATTATCATTGCAGAAGCTAGCTTTTTAAAAAAGTTTGATCGATGGCTCCCTTTCAATATAGGAGGAAACCACTTTTCAAGCTAAGATGAGAAGAAAACAAAAGGGAATTCCAAAAGCATGATGTGAATATAATGTGACTTTCATGTGAATCTGATTGCCATATATTTCTGGCATAAGTCTTAGTTAGCAAAATTCATATATTTAGCGGTCACTAATGTATTAAAATATCTTTTAGATATAACGGTTACCATTTCCAATATTAAAAAATTATGCATGTTTAAATTGTTCGCACAAATTAATAGGGAGAAGCACTTTTAGTATTTCAAGCAAAATTAGTCTGGCATATAAAAATATTTTTTTAAAAAAAGAAATATGTTTACTTTAAAAAAATAAATTAAATATGAAAAAATTCTGACATACTCTTGAAGTAAGAATCCTCTTAAAACATATCAGCCTTTAAAGTTTAAATATAATGTGGGTCCACACATTTACTAAAAACCACATAGATCTACTATATGCATGCAGGGGGAGGAACACATGAGCATAAAAGAATTTTTCCATAAATATCATCTTAAGTTTTAAATATTTTTTAAAATAAAATGAAGAGCTTTATTAATCTCATGTAATAAGAGAGAAGCTCTCTCATGCTACAGAGATAATCATGTGTTGGACCCACCTACTTATAAAAAAATAAAAAAAATAACACGAAAATCGATGTATGAATAGGAGAGAAAAATATTCTCCTATAACAAAAGAGTATATTCTCCCTAAAATGAATTAATCCAGACATTTAAACACAGTGTACAAACGTTCAATTGCTGGCGCCCCAGAGCCCGATGTGACCTTCGTTTTGATCTCCAAAATTCCCTCCTACACCGGGATCCTTGTTGTGTTGTGCTGCGTCTAATCCCCTTCTGCCAACCAGCTCATTGTGTGTGAAAGCTTCTTTAAGTATTTCGGGTGAGAGATCGTATCATATATATTTTAATATAAACATCGTCATATAAAAGGATCTTAATTATATGTGGGCAAATCAATAATGACGAGGGATGAGAGAAAAAAAAAATTACAATAGAAGTAACAAATTATTGATTTACCTATTAATAATTAAAATTCCCAAACGTGATATAATCATGTTAAATAGCACTTAATACCATCTATTTCCACTCCGATCTGGAGTTGTCCTACCTTTTAGTTATTTTGTTCTGTTTTTTAACCAACAAAACAAAATATCAGGGCTTTCCTTCCTTAATTAGATTTTCCTTGCTTGTCTGCAAGTCATTAAATTTTGCATAAACGGTGTTTATTAACATTTTTAACATCAAAATTTGATTCGGTTACTTTGATGTCACCTTACTTAAATTTTAGTGATATTGTGTATTCACTTTTTTTAACTCTGGTATAAGAATAAAATTTTTTACTCTCCATCTCATTTATTGATTTCCGTTGATATGATATTACAATTTATTGAATTATACATATTAGTAATGACTAATGAAAGCGGTTATATTTACTAGTTATTATCATTTTAATCTTACTACTATTACTACCTATCTGTTTAGTTATCGTTTAATCAACTTGAAATCAATGGTTAAAAAAGAGAAAAAATTAATTGCCGTTAATTTCAAATTGGTCCAAAGGTAACTAAAAAGGTAATAAGATTAAAATAATAGTAAGTATAATATTTCCTTTAATTAATTATTAATTTCAAATATATTATTACAGTCAGATACACAGAGATTAAGGGATAAGATGGAAAATAAAACTTCTTATTTTTATAGTGGAGTCGAAATGTCTCTCCTCTAATATACCAAAAATATATTATATATATATATATAGGGAAGAGTTATATTTACAAATTTTTTGTTACAAATTACACTATGTACTTCCGGAAGTACACTAGGTTACACTATATACTTCCGGGAGTACATAGTGTAATTTGTAAAAAAAACTTGTAGACGGATGTAGATAAGTTATCTACATTAACCCAAAACGACGTCGTTTTGGAGTGGAAATCAAGGTATTTTTGTAATTATAAGTTATTTAAGGGTTATAATAGTTTTTTTAATTATATTTTTTTAATTTTTCAACTCAAAACAATGTCGTTTTGAGAGTGAATGTATATAACTTATCTACATTCACTATTCACTGTAGAAACATTAAAGCCTATATATATATACAAAAACGAAAATAATTATCTATCTGTCTACCGAGGAATATAATTTTTGACGAATAACTTTCAATAGGACAAAAATCATTTAACTTCAATTGCATGTTGAAACTTGCCCGGTTGTTTTTTTTTTTTTTGTATACATTGCTTTTATTCTTTGTCCTAGGCCCTTATTCTGATTGAGAAAAGTTTGGCTTAAAAGGTGATCTTTTTTAATCTTATATCCCATTGGCCTGATGTCACTATAAGTGAACGGCGAAATCGTGGGATAATGATATCAGGGTTGATAATTTATATATTATGAGCTTGAAGCCGTGTTTTCTTGTCCTTACATAATTCAGATCCCGTATCTGATTGCACCACATTTATCTCAACTCCCTTCAATCACGACAACGCAAAATTTTCTCGCCTATCAATTCATACCAATGGCCCAATGCCATATATGTAGGTTTTCATTATTCTGTTCCTAATTTTACTTTTTATGATAGGCTCAAGGGATTCCAGCTAATATGTTTTTAAGGCTTATCTTCTTTGCAAAATATCCAAACATAGTTCATTTTTAATTACATCCCCCCGCCATCACGTCATATAATTCCATGAGCGGATGAGCCCGTCGGTCCCAGAATTACATATTACCGAATTGGGAATTAGCCAAATATAACCATCTGAAACAACATGGCTTCAATCACATTTCCTTAATATTTATCACTAATTTTGTTTTTTAAAAAATAAACTAATAACTACTGGACTTTTGTTTGGTAGTTTTAAGTGTTGGGTGGTGTTCCTCTATAATAGGGGTGTTTGCGGTCTGTATTAGATCGGTTTTGGAAGCAAAAATCATCTGATTCAATCCCGTCTGTTTGATCATGTAATCATCCATTCGGTTTGGATTTTTTTCAAATCCGATCCGATTCAATCCAATTT